CAGTAAGACTGATCAAAGGATAACATTTGCAATGTAGGGGGGAAAATCCTTTGGTGAATGAGTGCAGTGCATGACGACAGGGATGCTAGAGGCATTGTTGTTGTTGTTATGAAGTGCTGTCGAGTCAGTTCCGACCCATAGCGACCCTGTATAGGGTTGCCTAGGAGACAGTTAAACCAGATTAATTATTTTGCCGTAGTTCAGGCCAAAAATAAAAAGTACTGAGAGTTAGAACAAGATTGATGTTGTTGTTAAGTGCCATCGAATTTGTTCTAACTCATAACAACCCTATATAGGATTTCTGAGGAGTGGCTGGTGATTTTGAACCACCAACCTTGCAGTTACTAGTCCAGTGCTTATCCTACAGTGCTGCAATGTGATTTTAAACAACAACAAAAGCACATTGCCATTGAGTTGCTTCTGACTCAGAGGGTTTCCAGAGCTGGAAGTCTTCATGGGAGCAGAAAATCTCATCTTCCTCCTGTGAAATTGCTGTTGGATCTGAATTGCTTACCTTGTGGTTAGCAGTGCTTACCCTACAGTGCCACCAGGGCTCCTTTTGTAGAAATTGCTGCTGTTGTGAAATGCTGTTGAGTTGGTTTCAACTCATAGCGACCTTGTATAGGGATTCCAAGGAACAGTTGGTGAATTTGAATAGCTTATATGCGGTCAGCAGTCCAGTGCTTATTCTATAGTACCACTAACTAAAATAGTGGACACAGAGTACAAAAGTTTTGAGGGAAGAAAAATGATGAGTTCAGTTTTAAGAATGTTGATTCTATCTTGGGTATCTGTGAGACATTCAATTCAGGTGTAGAATAGCCAACTGGAAATTACATATGAAGATCATGAGGAAAATCTAGACTAGTGATACTAATTTGGGAGTTGTTCAATTGCATAGCAACAGCATCTGAAGCTAGCGAGTGGATAAGATCACTCACAATGATTGTGCGGTTTGAGATAAATAGAGAGAGCAGTGAAAGGACCCTAGGAAATGAAGATATTGAAGGACCAGGACAAGATGAAAAAGTTAAAATGAGAAGTCTGGCTTGAAGGATAAGTGGCAAAGCAGTTGAGTTTGGTGTTGTTGTTAAGTGCCGTTGAGTCAGTTCCAACCCACAGCAACCTTGTATAGGATTTCTGAGGAGCAGTGAGTTTAAACCACCAACCTTGAAGTTCAAATGACTTTGCAGTCTGGCGCATTAACCCACAGCGCCACATCAGGTCTGCTGAGTTTGGTGTAGGAACCAAGAAAAGAAAGGTTTAGAAGAAGGAAGCTGTGCTGAACAAAGTCAAATACTTCACAGAAAGATAGGATACTAACAAAAAGTGTTCATTGAACTTTTCTGAGAGCAGTTTCTTTGGCAGTTAAATAAAGGAAGAAACAGATTTCACTGAAAATTAAAGAATGGCTTGGAGATTGAGACAGTGTATGCAACAATTTGCTTAAGAAATATGGAGAAAGGGATGTTGAAAGTCACTAAAAGGGTAACATGAGGTTGGAAAGGGATTTTTTTTATAGAATAAAAATACTATATCATATATATATATATATGATATATACTCATGGGGAAGAGATGGAACAAAATACAATAAAGTTGAGGAATAAATGATATAGTGAGACTCATTGGGAGTAATCCAGAGGATGGTAGGATAGAATGTCAACATGGCTCCATGTCTGTTTGACACTGACACTTTCTATATCTCTAGTCTCTTAATAAGAAGCCCTAGCAGCATAGTGGGTTACAAATTGGTATGCTAACTGCAAGGTCAATAGTTCGAATCTACCAGCTGCTCTGTGTGAGAAACGTGAGGCTTTCTGCTTCCATAAAGATTTACAGCTTCAGAAACCCGATACATGGTGACTATGAGTCAAAACTGACTCCACTGCACACAACCATGACCACCACCACCAGTCTCTAAATATATTTTCTTTAACTAAAAGAGGCAGTAGATTTTATGGGCCAGAACATAATCCTGTTGTTATTAAGTGCTGTCAAGGCAGTTCCAAACTCATGGTGACCCTTTATAGGGTTTCTAAGATGTGCCTGGTAGGTTTGAACCACTGACCTTGCAGTTAGTAACCCAGTGCTTATCATACAGCACCACACCAGGACTGCAGAGCATGGGCCTAGAGTCTATTAATTCTAGATTTTATACCCAGTTCTATCAGGAAGATATAAATGAAATGGATTGGTACAGTAGCAGAAGCAATGGGCTCAAGTGTAACAATTGTGAGAATGGTGTAGGAACAGACAGTGTTTCATTCTGCGGTGCGTAGGGTTGCTATGAGTCTAAACCGAGTTAAAAGCATCTAGCAATAGCAACAATGGATCTATCTATGTAACATTGAACAAGTATCTTAAATTCCATTCCATGTAAATACAGTCTTTAAATATACCTCTTATAAAAGAAAGGCAATAGAAATAAATTTTATTATAGTTAGTTTTCTATGGAACATAACCATGAGTAGTAGTTTCTGATCTGTAAACTTGTATTTTTTTGTATTAGGGATATGGAAGACTTTTAATTTGTTTTTGCTATTGTTCTCTTTCTTCTTACTTTACTTATCCTCTCTCTTTAATGAGAACATATCTGAATTTTTTCTCTTTACACTGTGCCCCATTTTGGAATTCAGTGGTGACTGCAAAATTGAGTAGTAAGATCTGTTATAATTTGTATACACGATTACAATATATTCGAGGAGACCTGGTGTGGTACTGTGGCTTAATGCTCTAGACTGCAAAGTCAGTTGGAACAGTAAGATCAGTGGTTCAAGCTCACCATCTGCTCCTTAGAAACCCTATACAGAGTCACTGTGGGGTGATACCAACTCGAGGGCGTTTAATAACAACATGTTGTTGTTAAGTTCCATCAAGTCAGTTCCAACTCATAGTGAGCTTGTATAAGGTTTCTGAAGAGTAGCTGGTGGGTTTCAACTGCCGACTTTATGGTTCACAGCCCAGTGCTGAACCCACAGCTCTACACCAGGCATTCAATATACATATAGTATACAACATGTGTGATATATATTGTATTATATTACCATATACAACCCATGATCTAGGTTTTAGACTGTGTAGAAAGGTACCTAGGATGTTTAAATCTTTTTTTTTTTTTTTTAATCATCTTAAATGATTCCTTGGTGTGAATATTAGAAAATGAAAGAATTTTTTAAAGAAAAACTTTTAAAAAGAAAAAAATAATAGAAACTCTATAAATAGAAATGACAAAGTAATGAGAATCAAATACATTTTATTCCTGCCATTTGGTTTGGAATCACTAGTGCAGGCAATGAGAAATGTCTTCATACTTCCTTCGTGTGAGACTCTGGACCAATCAGTTGACCAGATACCATCATTGTCTCTTAACAAGGATGCGCAGAGATCTGATGGGTTTCCAGGAAGTTTTCTCTATGCTTGGCATAGCAGGAAATTGTTCTGATTTATTTGTCATCACACAGAATCACTGATGGACAGGAAAAGTGAAAAAAATAAAATAAAATAATAAGGTTTTTGTTGTTGCTGTAACTGAACTCCTTCCTGCTGTTTTGTCCTTGTTCCTCCCCATGACACATACTTTCTCAGGGATAGCAGAAACAAGTAAGAGCTAAAGAAGAATAAGGAAGAAAAAGAAAAAAACAAAACACAGTCAAACTATAAATCCTGCTATTTGTAATCAGTGCATAGCCTCTGTGATGAAATTTGTGAGTAATTCACTTCCCACTCAAGCCAACCAACGTGGGATCTAATGTTGCCACCCTGAACACTAATGAAGTGAGTCAGAAGGCAGCACAGCTTGCCCTTGGGGACTCATTTCTCACATCACCAAAAAGTAATTTCCCTCAGTTTTGGCCATCTGGTAGCTTGGATTGTGAAGATGATGTTTTGTTCGCATAGTGCTTGAAAGCACGGGCCCTGGAGTGTGCCTCTAAGCCTGAATTTCCCAACCATTAATAAAAAAAAGAAAAAGAAAGAAAGGTGGATTTGAGGGGAGAAATAAATAAAATATTAATAGTATCTACCTTATAGGATTTTACTTCCTTCTTATGAAGAGTAATTGAGATAATACTTTTAAAGGACTTTACACAGGGTTCTTGTGTATAGTAAATGCTTAATTAACGTATGCTGTTGCTATTGTGTGCTGTCTATTGTTAAATTGTTTGTAGTACTACCAGTAATAGTAGCACTGGGATAATAATAGTATTTCTGTAATTACCTGTCTGTGATTTTGGCTTTATTATTGCATTTTTAAGCGCTAACATACATCATCTGACCTGTTACACACTAAGATGCTACTTAGAGGCTTTCTATTGTAATGATTAACCCACAACGTACTTATAAGTAACTGAGGATTCTCACATTTTAACGCAATGATGTGATATTTGTTTCCCTGACATTTGTTAAAAAAAATAAATAAATAAAGACAAACGAACCTGGTTTATATTCATTTGATATGAATGAATATAAGAATAAGGTAAAATTATCCTTAGGTTGTATAACCAAATAAGGTTTAATTGAATCAAAAAGGAGCTAAGACATTTTCATTATACTACTCCGTGTCCTCCTTTTTGCAGAACTCAGATAGCCATCATTAGCCCTTACAGTGACACTTTAGTATCTCCTCAAGGGAACTGATGAGCAGATGCAATGCCTGGATCTTAAAAGCGCTTTTCCTTCTCAAAACAAATTTCAAATGATTTACACTAGGAAACCAATTAGTTCAAATTTTCCATTTCCAGTTGCATGAACAGTGGGATAAAGGTGAAGTTTTCTGCTCCTGTAAAGATTTACAGCCTTGCAGAGTCACAATGAGTCAGAAAAGACTCAATGGCACTTAACACAACCACCACCACAACAATTGTATGAACCAGTATGGCAAGCTTGTTTGTTTTTGTTTTTGTTTTTTAACAAAAAATGCATATTCATTTAAATGTCCAATGGGTAAAAGCTTGTTTTTACTGATATAATTACATATGCAACTTCATTTTGTGTTTACAGTTCCACCAAAGATCTCCAACATCTCCTCCGATGTCACTGTGAATGAGGGCAGCAATGTGACCCTGGTTTGTATGGCAAATGGCCGCCCTGAACCTGTTATCACCTGGAGACACCTTACACCAACTGGTAAGCAACCAGCCTTCCAGTCTCCAAGATGGTAAACACTCTTTGATATACTCATGCTGTCAAGATTTCATTGACTCATGAGCTCTACATGCAACTTGTTTTTAAGACATTGACAGAATTGTGCCATAGATCTTATTTAGGGCCCCCATGATCCAATAATATGTTCATCTCAATCAATTCTACATCCATTTTTTTGTGGTTGTTAAGTGTGACTGAGTTGATTCCAACTCACAGCAATCCTGTATAGAGTTTCCAAAGAGCAGCTGGTAGGTATAAACTACTAACCTTGTGGTTTGCAGGCCAGTGTTTATACTAATTATACAAACACAAAAGCTTTTTGAAACATCCTCATATATATATTTGTTGTTGTTGTTGTTATGTGCCGTGGAGTCAGTTCCAACTTATAACTACCCTGTACAGGGTTTCCGAGGCTGTAAATTTTTATGCGAGCTGAAAGCCTCACCTTTCTCCCGTGGAACAGCTGGTAGTTTTCAAATCAGACTACCACATCTTTCTCCCATGGAGCAGCTGATAGGTTCAAAACACTGACCTTTTTGTTAGCTCAACACTAACCATTGTATCACCAGGGATCCTGTTGACCTTTGAACAACAGGGGTGTCAGCTGCCTGGGTCCACTAATATACACTTTTTTTCTTTTTTTTTTTTTTTAACACCATGTGACACTCATCATCTCTGCATGAACAGTTGGTCTTTCCAGTAAATTGCATATCACAGTAAAAAATGATCCCTCGTGGGTCTCACGTATTTTTCATCATGTTTATTGCAGCATCGTAAACCTTGAATCACACCACTATTGATGATGGAAGTGCTCCTGTGTAACCGAGGAAAGGCATAGCGTTATAAGAAAAAGTTTAATTGCTTGATGTGAACTGCAAATTGAGGTTCTGCAGCTGCAGTTGTCCACCTTTCAAAATAAATGAACCCAGTGTAAGGACCATTGTTTAAAAAAAAAAAGACAAAAAAAGGAAATTCATGATGTTATCCTTGCAAATACACCAGCAAGTGTGGAAACTTTTCACTTTTTGTAAAATACCTTTTTGTCTCATGTTGAAAATGCATTTTTTTATGTGAATGCAGTATATAATAATCTAACATATAAGATATATGTATTCATTGACTGCTTATGCTATTGAAAAGACTTCTGGATCAACAGTAAGCTTAATTGTTAATATTTGGGGAAGTCAAGTTATGCATGAATTTTCAAATGTGTGTAATATTGGCACCTCTAACCCCCTGTTTAAAATGTTTGTAGGGTAATTCCATTGTCTTTTAATTCCGTATTTCCATGAAATTTTTTTCATTAAGTCCATTTTTCTATGAACTTTTTTGAATTCCCTTGTGTACATAATTTCTAGGGGTACAGTGAGTCTGTATGATAAGCATTGGACTGAGAACCACAAGGTTGATGGTTCGAGCCCACCAGTCACTCCACAAGAGAACGATAAGGCTTTCTACATCTGCAAAGATGTACAGTTTTTAAAACCCTATACAGGGTCCTATGAGTCTGAAATGACTCAACAGCACTGAACAACAATAATATAATTTATATATCATAATCTTTAATACTACAGTTTCCCAAGACAACAAAGATAGAAGCATCAAATGATTTGATGCTGTATCTAAAATACCTGCCAGTTTTGCTGCTTGAGTGTCTCGAGGTAATGCTTTGTAGCAATTAAACTGATGTTGTTATTTGTTCATATGTTAGTTTTTTTAAATTTGTTTTACTTTGATTTGAACTGTAGGTCAGTTTCCTAATATGCAGTACATTATGAAAAAAAATTTTCGGGAATACCTCAAAAGAGTTTGTAACTTCTAATGATCTAACATTGATTCTGAGTCTGTGGTTGGGCATCAGGTGTAGACTAAAGTGTATGAGCTCAACATGAATTATTGGCTATTGTTGCTAATTCAGTGAAAAGAAGACAATTAGTCCCCTGCAGTCGTTTCCGAGTTTGACTTTTCCCTGCCCTTATCCATCACCACAACTGGGTTCCCAGATCCTCCTGCTTGTGGAAATTTCTTCAAAATTCTGCATGAATATTCCCCTATTATGCACATTGCATTTTCTCATATGCAAAGCCATGCCTTTGGAAATGTTAGAGTGAGGCCTTCTATTTAATTTTTCTGAAAAGTGGAGTGATATTGCAATTATTCTTATACAATATCTTTTTTGGTAGATAGCCCCCAACTTTTAAGTAATATTCTCTTCTAGAGAATAAATAAAGTATATTGGAAACACAGTCACACTCATTCTTGTACATATTGTCTAGGGCTACTTTTGTTCTAAAACAGCAGACTTGAGTAATTGCAACAAAGATCCATAGACCTACAAAGCCCTTTACACAAGCTTGTGCAAGCTCTGGTCAAGATCATTGCTTAAGGCATAGAACAAAGACTTGGTGCACTCACCTCTGATCCCTGTAACTTTTGAGTTATCTTCCATGGTGTTCACTTCAAAATGAGCATAGACATTGAATCTCTAGATATTTATAAGAAGATTCAAAGTATCTAGAGATTTAATGTATAATAGGTTCACAAACTTCCCCAGAGGAAACACAAAGTTTCAGTTAGTGATTTTCCGATTACTGGGATGCCATCAAACTTAATTCACAACTAACTACTTGACCATGGCTAATATTTTTATTATGCAAATATGATAAAATGTAACATTTTCAGACTATTGAATGAGTGTAATTGAGGCCAAAATTCACTTCTGGAAATGTCATGAACCATGTGCTATGTCTGCAGGGGCATACTATGCCAGAACTCTTTTTACATAATTTCACCATTCACACCTGTTTTATGTATGTGCATGTTAGGTACATGGACTATTTGCAAAACTATAAGGTATACTAAGTTTGCTATTCAATGGAAACTGTCCCAAGTTATTTCTAAAAAGCCCAGGTAGTTCTTGCTTATATATTCTTTAAAAATCTCTGTATGTTATGGTGTATGATTATAGGACCTCCATTCCACATTAAACCTCAGGTTAATTACTCAGGTGAACTTTAAATCAACCTATGGAATTGTCTGGTATTTTGATAGGTGTTTGCATTAGAAGCCTCTATTTTGTTAGCAAAGTTTCACTCAAAATCTATATTTGTTGGTTGTTGAAGCATAAAACTCAACATTTGTAGATAATAAACACATTAGGGTCTTACTTGGGAAAATAATCCCAAACTCACTGTGTGTCAGACTCATTTTATATCTCATCAGGGGAACAAATGCAAATGATGGACTATCTGAAGCATGACCCTCCATACATCATCCACCTTCCTCCTAGATTCAGTTAATGCTCCAGAACACCTTTTACTTGAATGGCATTATATTAACCACCAATCCCATGCCACCTACTCCTATTCCAAGGAGAATTGCTTTTACTGAATTATAATTTGATATAAAACTATTATATTTAAAGATAGTATAAAAGACAAACTCTAAAAGTAATCATTATGTTTAATGTAATGTTGTTATTGAGAGATTATTTAATATATTTTTTTACATCATTTCATTTCATTGCTATAAGGACACTGTCAAGCAATTTCTCAATTTGTAATATCCAAACAACCCTTATGACTCTGGGAAGTATAAGACTACAAAAATTGAAATTCAGTTCTGCATCTCCACCCATTTGATGCTATGAGTCAGAACTGATTTGATCAATGTGTTCATTAATTGTAGTCATATAATTCAAATCCTCCTCTTATTCCTGACTGTGTTTATCCTTCTATTGTTACAAGCGAATGTAGGCCAATTATTGTGTCTTGGATGGCGGTTGCAAACTTTTAAGACGCCAGGTACTGCATATCAAACTAGGAAGCAGAACAGAAACATTAAATATATTATTAGGCCAATGAAACAGAATACCCCATGAAACCATAACCCTAAATCAAGAAACCAAATCTCATGATGCTTTTAGTTGTATATAAACAGCCTCGGCAGCTACCCTTTTTTGTTACTGTTGTAAACATTCATATCACACAACTTTTGCTAGTTCAACTTTTTATAGATATACACCTTACTGACAGCAATTACTAGAACTGACTATTCAACCCTGTCTTTAATTAATATGATTTTATATCACCACTGACCTACCCTTTCCCCTTCCCTTTCACCCCTAATAACTACTAATATGCTTTTGTCTTTATACCTTTGCTTTTTCTTGTTTTTGTTTTGTTTTGTGTATAAGTGCAGTTGAATGACTTATTTCACTCACAATAGTGTCTTCATGTTCTAGCATTCTTCTGGCTTAGTAATATTGCATTGTGTGTATGCATGACATTTTGTTTATCCCTTCATCTGTTAGTGGGCTACATAGGTTGTTTCCACTGTTAGGCTACTTGAATAGTGCTGCAATAAATGTTAGTGTACAAGTCTCTGAGACTCTGGTGTGGTGCTGCAGGATCAGCACTGGACTGTGAACCACAAGGTTAATAGTTCAAACCCACTACTTCTCCTTGGAAATCCTATACAGAGTGACTATGAGTTAGAACCTACTTGAGGGCACTTAACATAGCAATATATGCATATACATATATATTTATATGTGTGTGTATATACTGTGTTTTTAAATTCTTGTCAGATAATATACGGTTTTTGAAGATAGTCTCTCAATCTGTCCCTTGACTTTATACTTTTTCAGTAGTCTCTTGACAAACAAGTGTTTAATTTTTATAAAGTTGCATCTATTCGTTTTTATTTTGTTTGCATTCTTTTAAAAGTATTATTGTATTAACTAACCCATTTTTAAAAGCTAAGCTTGACAGCATTTTCTTTAACAAATTTTATGAGATTTGAGTGCAAATTAATTTTTATGTAAAGTATGAGGCATGGATCCTGTTTCATTTCTCTGCATGTTAAAATCCAGTTTTCCAACACCCTTTATAGAATTAAAGCTTCTTTTCCTATCAAAGAGTCTGAGCAATCTGCCCCAAAATCACTTGACTGTAGATGTATAGGTCTATTTCTGACTCTCA